GCAATTCAAGAAAGAAACATGAGTTCTTTGTGCAGACAGGGCATAACAAGTACATGTAGGAAAAGTGGATATACTCAAGGTCTTGCTTTGCCAGACAAACAAATCTGCACAACACTATGGACACGAAACAAAGTTAAGACACATGTTAAGATGGTTACTAATAAACTCAACAGAGCATTAAGCTTTGGGTTAAAGAACTCCTAACTAATAGTAAATAGTCTTTTTATAGCTGAAAGGAAGATAATCAATATGCTCTCAACTCACTGTAAATGCAACAACAACAACAACCCAGTAAAATCTCACAAGTGCGGTCTGGGGAGGGTATGGGGAAGGTAGAATGTACGCAGACCTTACCCCTACCCCAGAGGGGTAGAGAGGCTGTTTCCGAGAGACCCTCAGCTCAAGAAGACGAAAAAACTCACTGTAAATGCCAGTTGTGAATTTGCAGTTAAGTCTCTATACTTTGTACTCAATGTGATAAGTTCATTCCAGCAAAACGATGGACCTCTTGATTCCAGCCTGCCCAGGGAAAGGTTCTCAATTAATAATTAAGAAATTAAGTTACAAACTTACAATTCGGAAAGACTGTTCTTTCAACTCCAATTTCCATTGTAGTTAAATTAGAAACTGTCAAACACATTGTCCTAAATGAAACCTTGTTCTCATGGAAAGCCCAAAGGGAGCACCATCTATATACAATGTACTCTCCACATATAGCTCTGGCTTTTTCTCCTCAGCAGTAGAATCAACATTATCTACACAAATTAAAAGGATAGAAAATTCGTAAATGCAGAGGTCAGACAACTGTGATAACCAACAATACTGTCAGCCCATGATTGCATTTTCACTAGATTTAACAATGATTCTCTCCGCTTATGCAAAATTGGCTAGTCTACTACTACTCCCTCGGTCCCATTTTATGTGACACACTTTCATTTTTAGACTGTCCGGAAAAGAATGATACCTTTCTCTTTCTCCAAACAATTTTATCTTATAATTCCCATTTTAACCTTAATGACATAATCTTATACCCACAGAAATGTCATGACATGTTTCAAACCGCAAAGATCAAAAGTCTTTATTTCTTCCTTAAAATCTATGCCAAGTCAAACACTTAACATAAAATGTAATGGAACTACGGAGGGAGTATAATTTAGCTAAAAAATCGAGCTTTAACGATCCATGAAGCTAAAAATAACACAATGAGCGACTAGTCTAAAATCCTAGTAGGCAAAAAAGTTAATAGAGTCTAAAAGGCTTAAGCATATGGAAAGAAATCACTAGTGTTATTTGCCTACACTGGGATTTCAGACATCAGACCTTTTTTTTTATAACTAAGAAATCTCAAGGGCCACTGGCACACTTGGTTCTAAATTGATGGATAACGGGTCCACCCCTCTACGCTTTTTCACTTACTTATCAGGCTTTTGTCTGCCGCGTAGGGTTCAAACCCGTGACGTACTCCTAAGTCCGGACACCAGATTTAAACATGATCATCTCAAATTAACAGAAAATTGTCTAGTATAGTACTATAATTTAGCTCAAAAAACGAACTTTTAACTATAAACGCATATTATCACTAAATTAAAAAAAAAATAGCTTTCGAAGAAGCGCAATTTAATAACCGAATAAAGAGAAGATAGCAGATAAATTTTATGGTAAAATAAGAGGGAATTAACCTGAATCGGAATGCTTAGGCGTTAACAATTTGCCTTCCAATTTCTCAATACGGAAAGTGACAGGAAGATTGATATCACAAGATAAGAAAAAGCGGAACTCGTTTCCGCTCATGGCTTTGATCACAAAACTGTAGACGAATTTTTCAAACACTTTGTTCTAAGCTGGGTTTTGGATTTTCGCGAGTTTTATTTTTGCCGTGCAAGTTATCAATGGGTACTGAGAAAAAATGACCCAATTGGTCCTTATATTTTGGAGTAGACTTAAAATAGTCCCTTAAACATTCTCTTTAGCAGCTTTAATCCTTTAAGTTTGCCAATATTAGTATTTTCGGTCTCCGTTAAATATTTAATAAACTCTAATTGTCAAATATTTATATTGAACTTATATAGTATGAGAGTATAAGTATTTAATTTTAAAATAAAAAGTTGTATATCCAAATGTAGTTGATTACAAGGGTTTGTGTTTAATTTATCAAATATTTTAATTATATCATTCTTATACGTTGGAATCATTCATATCCTTATTGTTAGCAAATTATATTATATTTAGTTTTGATGCTAATAGAGCTCCAATGTGGATTCTAACCTAAGTATAATCAACTAGTGAAGAGTAATAATAAAGCACAATCGAAATCGGATGGATAAATCTGAATCGTTGTCACAAAGTATTTGACATGCAAAATTCATTTATTTTACGCTATATTTCCTTTAAGGTTAAGCACATAAGACAATTTGTTTGACAAAAAGAATTATAATATGAGTGATCCAAAGTATACCAAAGGGTAAACTTAAGATATTACATATGTATAGTAAAGGGTATTATGTTCTCCTTTTGTTTCAATTTATACACATTGCTACACTCATAGATGCGTATGAGTCTCTCCTCTATGTTACTTTTTGCCTTCGTGAATTTAAACTTCATAATATGGCACTCAAAAAAAAGTTATAGTTGTCCTAGACTATACGAATAACTTAGAGACAGATTAGTGGATATTCATAGTTTAATTTACTCGCATATTGATTAACAAAATATTCTTAATCGTTTGTTTCGTGATTTCAGTTATTTTTCACAAATATTATTATTTATTCAAATAAGCACTTAAAAAGTTATCATACGTCAAAATAGAATGAACGCTCTCTTTTAGATGTATTTATAAACATCTCTTAGTATCATCAAGGGGGAGAAAAAAGATGAAATTCAACAAGTTAGCAATTGTAGATCAAGAAGAAGAAGTTTGTCTTTCTTTTCGTCACCTTGTTTGAGTTCTTCAATCAAGAAGGGGGTTATCATCATCATAAATATCGTCAAGATATTATTTTTCGTGGAAAACTCATTTCTCAATAAGAAGAGAGCCTTGGAGTAACGGTAAAATTATCTTCGTGTGATCCGTAAGTCACGAGTACAGCTCGAATTAGCCACTAATGCTTGCATCCTTTCTCAGACCTTGCGTAAATAGGGATACTTTGTGCACCGAATTACCTTTTCTTCAATCCTCAAGAAAAACCCATCTCACATAGTCCTCAAAAACTCATCAAACACAAGAAAAAAGAGGGGACTATATCACATTTTTCAAAGGTAAGATCAAGAATATAAGAAATAATAAAGGCAAAGGCAAAGGCAAGGCATTATGTTGGCTAATTAAAGCCTTAGAGATGCAGTGATCAAGGGTGGGGTGAAGTTATGTATGGCCAAGGATGGTCAATTGAACATTCTTACCCAAAAATAATATAATGTATAAAATAAAATATTACTTGTTATTGATTAAATACACTTTGAACACCATTGCATAGCCCATTGACAAAGGATATTCAAATTTTGAACACTTTTATTGAATTTTCTGACTTCACCACTGACAGTGATAACTCCTACCATGCAAAGACAGTGGTGAAGGCGTCCATTAGTTACATTCCAAAGGGGCGTATGTAGAAATTTTTGTGGTGTCGAAATTTTTAAAAGAACGGAAATAAATAACTTTAGTTATCATATTTCTAGACTAGAAATAACCATTAGACCATTGGTTTTGTTGAGTGTTAAGTTAGAAAAGGTCTGAGTTCAATTTTACTTAGAGCCTGTTCGGATTAGCTGATTATAAATAGCTGATAAGCTTGAAGTGCTGAAAAGTTTTTTAACTGTTGAAACTGATTTTTAAGATAAGCATTTACGTGTTTGGATACAAGTGATGAAACTGATAATAAACAGTTAATGTGTTTAATAAAAAAATATTGATAAGCTATTCTTTTGTTAAAATGACAAAAATACTCATAAACTTTTTTCAAAAGAATATAAATTAAAAAATTTCTTTGTAAAGAAAATAATTAACAACGAATATGGAATGAAGAAAAAGTCAAGAAATTTATTTTGGGAAAAGTATTTTGTGAATTAGAAAATATTATTAAGGATAAACTAGTAAAAGTGTTGGTCAAACTGAAAGTGCTTATAAGCTGAAAAACCATAAGTTGAGGGTGACCAACCTATGACTGATTTTAGCTTATAAGCACTTGACTTATAAGTAGTTTGAGTGTTTACCAAACGCGTAGTGCTTATAAGCTAGTTTGACCAGTTTATAAGTCAGTTTGACCAGCTTATAAGCTTAGCCAAACACCCTCTTAATCACAAATTTTAATCATAGAGGCTCTCTCAAATATTTGACCTCTTAGAGCAAAATCAAACACAACCAATATGCCAAGAGACACTCTGTGTCAAGTGGTGTCATTTTTTTCTACTTATTCGTTTTCTCACAGTATAAATACATATATTTAGTAAAATTTCCAGACGAAGCGGCGTCACGTGACACCGCTTCGTTGAAGGTGCATCCGCCCCTAACATTCCACAAGTCAAGTGAAAGAAAAAATGTGAAGTCACATTTTATCTATTGTAACAATAAAGTCACTAAAGTATTTTACACATTATAACGTGACAAAAATAGTTTTGTGATTTTGTAGTTATAACAAATAAAGTTATGTGACCATAAATTAATCCCAAGTAATTAGTAAATTTACAATTTAGTTGTACCAAGTGACTTTTTCGTCTACTAGACGGGTGTTTAATTCTTATTGTCTTTTTTTTTTTTTTTTTTNNNGACAAAAAAATCAAATACAAAGGCAACAAAATCTGTAAATTTTTTTTTTTTTTTTTTTTGGTTAATCTCTTTACCTGATCCCAATATAATAGAAAAGATCATTTTAAAAAAAATTGCCATATCATGTTGTCTAATTTCACTATGTATTCTCAGATTATGATTAATTAATATGTATTCTCAGATTATTGATGTGAGGAAAAAGATTTAGAAGACATATTTCAAACCATTACTCATTCAAGAATATGCTAAAAACAAATTATAGTAACTGCAAAAAGAATTCCCATATTGTAAGGATGGGGAAAAAGAAATAGCAATAAGTCTAACAAAAAGATAACTAACACTGACTCCTAAATAACACTACAGCTGCCTAACCTGAAACTCCATTTCTATTTCTAACCCTTTTCTCCCTAGCTATCACCTAAAATATGGTCATCTATTTCTTCTCTATTTCCCCTATCCTCCTTACATATTTGTACAAAGAACCAATGAACAAAGCAATAATAAAAACAGTAAGCAAATTAAACTAAGAACTGATATGACAAGGCAGAGGAGATAAAAAGACTAGGAAAAACTATTATCTGCATTCTTGTTACTCAGGGTTGAAATCTGATTGCGCAGTTGAAGTACCACCTGTGGCATTGCTCTCGGGCGGGCCAGGGCTTAGGGGACGAGTTGAGTGTGGCGCAGCCTGCTTGTCGTGTGTATCCTCGGGGATGAGGTTGCTTCTCATTTCCAAGACCTTCTTGTGAGAGTTAGAGTGCAAGGATGGAACAAATGTGGGGGCTGCAGCAGGGCGGTACTCAGGGAAGAGTCGACCTTTCTTGTAGCGAACGCCACACGCGTTGCAGAGGGTTTTTGGTCCCATTGGACCTGCCCTCCATTGAGGCGTCTTTGTTATCTCACAATGCATGCATTTCCTAACTGTTTGTAGTGCCCGCTGGCAATTCTGATTCGTGTCAACTGGAGCTAGAGGAATGGAAAATTTGATTCTCTTTTTCTTCTTCATGTGAGACTCCCCGAAATTGTCAGATTCCAATGTATCTTCAGGCGCAACAAATTGCTGGTGAATCTCGGTAAAGGATGATGTTGGAGACATGAGTTGACTTACTGGCCATGGATTAAAAGTTGCAGGGCGAGGACGCTTGCTCCGAGCACGTTGTGTACCACGGTGGCATGGACTAAGAGGAGGAGTCGTTTTCCCCGCCCCTGAGCTTGATGAGCTGCTGCTGCTGCTCTCAAGCACAGAAACAGGACTTGAGGACAGGAATTTGCTATGAGATGGCTCCTTGTTGACAGGAAAATGTTCTTTCCCCATTGTCAATCCGCCACAAGAGAAGGAATCCTCCACAAATGTTGAAAGCCATTCGAGTTGAACTATATCCTCGTACTACAAATACAGAAGAGAAAACAGAAAATGATATCATTAGAGTTTCTATAAAGTATGCGATGAAACTGCATAAACATCACCAAATTAGAAGCTACAAGAGTAAAAAGACAACATACGAATTCATGTCTGATTATCCGTTTTAACGCCTAATCAAGATTAGGACACTAAACAGCACCTAATCGATACACCTAGTTTTCAATCATGACAAGATTTTCAACAGAACGTTAGTTCAAGTGACTTATTATTGCAAACTAGTACCTGCTCATTTATTATGATGGTCCCTCAGACACCCACCAACCTTTACAACATCCATGTGCAAGTGCCAATGGATTGAAGAGAAATTGACTGACTTTACCTACTATAAGGACACTCTTTTGAGCATTAAATAGGAAGACAAAGTATCATTTTGCAAATACCCATCAGAAGGTAAATACTCTCATAATAGAAGGTTTGAATTTGAAAGTGAAATTTGAACTAAAAACTTATTAACAAGTCGTTATCAGTAGAATGTGTGGACAAAATCGTCAGATTCTAAAAGCTCCAAATGATTGAACTGACTGCACTTGTAGCAAGATTTTGAACAGAAATTTTTTAAATCCAACCTACCATTACCATGCATTTAAGATAATTACGCATGGAACAATCAAGATAATTAGTTAAGACAAAAAGCATTTTAACAAAAAACTTATGCGCGCAAGCTGGCCTGAACACCACCTGGTAGTCAAATGCTCAAAAAAGGCAACCAATCACGTGACAAGACATTCGCATACAATAGGTCCCTTCAACAGTTGCTTAAATTTATGACGCACTAGTTTTAGATTTTGATTAATGTTGCTTAGTATTCAAATATCCGACAATCAAGATAGCAAATTTAAGAGAATCACAGTGAAGTTGCTGCACTCACAGGAACTAAGAGCTCGGCTGAGAAGTCGGAAGGTGAATTTCTGTGGCTGCTGAAGAAAAGTGGGCCGGAATCCGGCAAGGGGTCGTTGCAAATGCTTGGAAAATTCTTGCAATCAGTAGAGTCAAGGTCACCACACTCATTTTCTGGGGAAAATTCAACCAAATCATCAATATGGTCAAAGAAGCTAGCACAATCTATCTCATCCACTAAATTTGACGCCATGCTATATACTCTTTTTCCCTCTAAACTATAGCTGTTACCTGTAAAAAAAATAAAACAATACGATGAATAATGAATGCCTAGATAACAATTCATCATCTTCCAATTATCCTATACTTTATAGCAATGAAGGTGAAATTGGAATGCATATAAACATTATAGAGTAAGAAGATGAGCGGTACTCCCTCTGCTACATTCAGGGGCGGCCCAACCTCATCGGAGACCTAAAGCAAAATCTTAATAAGAGGCCTAAAGCAAAATCTTAATATATATATTATTTAATGAACATCGTTTTTAAAAAAATTAGACAAGTGAGTATGTAGAATTAAAAAAAATGAGAACTTAGTTTTATAAAATACAGAAAATTAAATGAATTTAACGTTGATTGCATCACAACTGAAATGGGAGAACCAGAAAACATAAGTGACTCCTTTTTTTTAGTAAGTCCCTTTCTATATTTGGTAACAATTCAACTTTAGATTATTTTTTTTTACCATCAATGAGATGATTTCTAGCCCAAAAACTTCTATGATTTATTTAAGATTACAAGTTTCAAAAGCCTTCCTTTATTTCATAAAATCCATGTCCAGTCAAACACTTTCATATAAATTGGGACGGAGAGAGTATAATTTATGTAAGGAAAATAAATAATAAGTTAGATTATTAGATATAGTTACGTGACCAACTAATGAATAGAGAAATATAATTAAGTAAAAAAGTAAAATAAGATTGACAGAAAACTATTTTAGTTATATTAATTAGAGGAAGAAATCGAGTTATTAAAAATTAATATGACAATAAAGAAATAAATTTATCAATAATAAAAGATAATTATATAAATAATATACTACTATATATAGAGAATACTAGTAATTTTGGGGCCCTTAAATTTTTGGGGCCTAAAGCAAGTGTTTCAGTTGCTTTATGGTTGGGCCGCCCCTGGCTACATTTTATGTGACACTCCTTTTTCGGTATGTTCCAAAAATTGACCTTTTTGATATTCAGAAACATTTTAAGTTAAACTTCTCATTTTATCCTTAATGACATAATTTTATAGAACAGTAATATTATGGCATATTTAAGACCACAATTTCCAAAAATACTTTTTTTCTTTAACATCACACCATCAAACACCTTCACATAAAACAGACCGAGAATTTACTAGCGCAAGCATGCAGCGATTATCCTTAATGACATGAATTTATACTCACCGGAATTTTAAGACATAAGTTCCAAAAATGTTTTTTTCTTAAACATTGCACCATCAAACACCTTCACATAAAATGAGACGGACCGAGTATTTTTTGGCGTAAGCATACGGTGAAGGATAGGGGCCACCATCAGCCCCAACATAGCTTCAAGCTGGAGCAATGTTGTCACAATGATGCTAGCCAGCACAAAGGGGAGCGTGGCCCATTTTAGCAGAAAAAGGTTGAAAATTCTTTTTGGATTCTTGTCACTTACATTTGGCAAATTAATTTACAGTTGGCCAAAAAAGGAAAATTAGAAAATAAAACAAATAAGCTGGTGTGAGAATGAACAAGCACACTAATGAAAATGAGGATGAACTGATAATACTTAAATAAATCGAAGAAAATTCAAAACTGCAAATACAAATTCAAAACCATACCTCTCAAGAAATGCAGGAAGTCACAGAGCCCTTAAAATGCAGAAAAGTTCTGAGTAATCAAAACTTCTTAAAAATTCACTCCACTAATGAACATTCCCCTGAAATATATCAAGAAAAAAATGTTAGGAACACATCAAAATAATGCAAATAGCAGAGTAAAAATTGAAACTTTATGCATAGAAGTCAAAGTTTGGCTCATTTCAAGCAAAACAAGTAAAAAAAAAAAAATAGTGAAGTTTTAGGAAAGGGTAACAGAAATACATAACATTGTTTTAGCTTCGCTCAATTTTAAAGATAAGCAGAAAAATACCTAAGAAAAACTCTGAAAGCACAAGAGGAAAGAAAAACAGTACCAGCAACTAAACAGGGGCCTCAAATATAAGTATCAAACTACAGAAAAGTACAAAGATAGCAATTGAACACCATTTGTCAAAAAATTATATAGTGTATATAAATAGCGACAAAGCCAAAAAATTTGACAAAAATTGTTCAAGGATGTTCAAAATTACTCTGTAACAACATACTCATCATATAACATTCATTCACTATAAAAGCTATATTTTTCTCAAAATCGATTTTTATATTATGTTATAATATATGTCACCGTGTATATATATATAAAAAGTAATGTATAATTTTCTATACAACATAGTATAATTTTCGGGCAAAATGTGTTCAACAAATTACGGGCCTATGTGGTTGAACACACTCCGCAAAATTCCTGATTTTGCCACTTCGAATAATACTGCAATATTAACTTTAATTTAAACCATATATTTGTGGGGGAAAATTCGTTCAAATTATTAATTTAAAATTCAATAACTTAAAAAGACTTACAATCTTAAACTCATAAACTTCAAATAAACAGAGTTTTAAAAGAAGCGGTAAAATTTTAGGAAAGGATAAGAGGGATACTCAATTTTACAAAAAAAACAGAACATTTCTGAGGAATGATAAACAGAACCAGCAATTCTAAACAGGGGATTCAAATAGAACAAACGAAAAAGGAAAAACAAGACTAAAACTATAGGCTATAGGTAGTGTGAATGAAAGAAGTGTACCTGAAGAGAAAAGAATTAAGAGAAGCGGAAAGGGTTTATGAGTAAGAAACTTATACGTAGAAATGAAAATGAAGAAAGCTAAAAAAGGGAAGAAGAGAAAAGGAAGATGCTGAGTAGGTGAGGCTCTTATTCATTGCTAGCTGTACCTTTTTACCAATCTCAGCTCAGCTGACCACCGTCGTCATCTTTGATAGCCGGTTTGTGTAAAATTTCATAAAAGTATCAAAATATAAAAATTACGTCGAAAAGTCAAGACGAGTAATGTATAAATATACATCAAAATAAAAAAAATTATTTAGCAATATAAAATAATTTTCCGGCAAAGGCGTGTCATTTGACACCCTTCGTTCAATGTGGCTTCACCTGTTTCGCCAAACTTCTCAAAAAGTCAAAAGTATTTTTTTTAAAAAAATTAATTTTTTTTCAACCTAAAGTGTTTGGCCAATCTTTTTTGGAAAAAAAAAAAATACTTTTGGGAAGAAGCACGAGCACTTTTTTGAAAAGTAAAAAAAGATAATTTCTTCCCAAAAAAGAAAAACAGTTTTGACTTTTATTTTTAACAAAAATATTCTTAACAAAATAACCTTACTTATTTTAAACCTAATACTTTTATATTAATATATAAGTATTTTTTCTTATTTTTAGGATAACTCTCTAATATATAGTGACTTTAGATGTGAATACTTTTATATTTGTTGAATAATTTTTAATATAGTTAAATCATATTATAAGAATTAAAGTATTTTTTAATTTTATTTTCATATTTTACTAAAATAAAATAAAAAGATTTAATTACTGTCTTTAATAATAAATTTTTGAGATTATTTATTTACTTATAATATTAATTATTAAGTAAATATATTCATATTTTTATTCGTAATTTGGTACTTAAAAGTATTTTTTGAAAAGTTTGACCAACACAAATTATTGTTTAATTTATACCTCAGTTTATAATGAATTTCACCATTATAAAATAAATAGTTTAAGTTATATATACTTCAGTTTATAAAAAATTACATCATGACTGAATTTTGAAGAAAAATATATATTATTAGCCGTTTTCAAAAATAATAGCCGACCGAAAAAATTTATATATATATATATAAATACTTATATATATATATTAGATGCATATAATATAAATATTTAATATACTTTATGGCTAGTGATTACAATTAATTTGACTTCCAATTTTGATTTAATTGCGGAACCTTAACGTTAGTGTTCGCCCGTAATTATTGCCGGTTTTGGAAAAGCTAAAGCGCGTCAATTGCTAACGGCCGTTATTTTTGACATTTGAGATGCTTTCAGTTTGTTCTTTTAATTGTCGAATTTGACTTCCGTATCCTATGAGCAAGTGAAACTCACTGACTAATGATATCATTACACACAGATTGATTGACGTCGTATGTACCAATTAGGAAGGCGAGTGTTGTGGAAACGTTTCCTATCGCGTGGAGATTTTGGAGCAAAAATCGAACAAGGTAAAAAGTATAACTGTCGTTACTAAATGACAAAAGGATGTACGGTAAACGGCAACAGATTTACTAAACTTGTCTTTAAATTATTGCGCAAAATAAAAATCACTTTAAACAAATCAGATTAGTTCTAAATAAAATAACTTCAATGATTGGCTATGTGTATATACACTTGCATTTATACTTGGCAATTCATTTTTCAGAAGCATATTCAGAATTTAAATTTAAACAGTTTAATAAAATTATAAGTTAATAGTTTCTTGTAGAGCCGCCTCTGTCAATATTAACTACTAGTGTTTCTTTATTAAAAGGGAATAAGAAATGGGCTTCTTTTTCATTTTTATTTTTACTTGCACTTTTAATATAACTTGGATTGTACTCTTTGAATATCTTCCTTCCAAAATACTGTCCCCTTTAATTTTAATAAGTTTAAACAACAATATAATAATTTAGGTAGATCTCTATATTTCAATTTTAGTCCGATGGTTACAAATTAATCAGTTGAAGCAACCCACAATTTTCCTAAAATATATTAGGTAACAAATGTTTTTGGAGTGATGTGTAGAGAGAGCAGTTTGTCATAAGTGGAAAGCGCCTATACGCAATGGCTTAAGACGTTATTTCTATTTTCTCGCTCGAGCACTCTTGTGCCGAAGATGAACAGGGATAGGCGATCTGCCAAAACTGTGGGATGTAAAAATACATCGGTAGGGAGCGCTCCACCTGCGCGAGCGGTGATGGACGAAGCAGAAGCGAGAATATCAACTTTAATAACACAAACATTAGTGAGAGTTTGATGCCTGAAAATCTAAGGGCAGGCGGGGTAAAAAAAATTAATTTGCCTCTTTTATTTAGTGTTCATTGTCGAATCAGATGCTTAACCCCGCCCTCAACTATGGGGATTCATTATGCAAAGATACGTCGTTTGATTGAGTGCTAAAATTATTCAATTATTCATTAATAATTAATCATGGGCAAAGTAAAATTTCTCAACGACCAAAAAATAATAAAAGAAACAACCAACACTTAACTATGAAAGATTTGATTATTTTCAGTGAAAGTGGAAGAAAAGTTCTTTTAACAAGAAATTGCTCAAACAAATTAAAATATAAGTATCATATTGATTAGTTAAACAAAGTCTTTTATATAAGAAAAACTAAAACCAAATTAATGATTGTCACTTCCTTCACTTCGAAGATAAACAATTAAGTAGTTGTGTCAGTCACATAAGTTTAAGAATCTACACTAGTTTGCACTATCTGCAAATGCACATGACATTTTTTTTTTTTTTTTTTTTTTTTTTTTTTTTTTTTTTTTTTTTGTCTTTCTTAATTCATGCAGATCTAGTAAAAGATAAAAAATAACGAAAATTGAAAATTCATACAGGTGAATAGGTGATATTAACTAGAAGATCAATATTTACCAAAAAGACTCTTCGTATATTAGAGATGTAATTATTAAAATACAGTATTAGAGAACTCGTAGGGGTCGTTTGGTATGATTGATAAGCAAAAATTATCATGGTACAAAAATTTAGTATCGTCTTATCTCTTGTTTGATTACTAATATTGGGATAAAGTTATCTCATGATTAAAAATAGTACCGAAATAATTTATACTTGCAGATGGTGAAATAGTAATCTCAGGATAAATAACTAAAATTGACAATCTCAGGATTAATATAACATATCAAATGGTCAATAAGAATTAATATCATGATAACTAATCACATCATAACTAATTCCAGTATAACTAATCCTATTATAACTTGTTTTCAAACCAAAGGACCCCTTAGTGTTATAAATAATCCTTAAGTACAACGTATAAAAATATTATGAATGCTAACAGAGCACTATAATATTGAAAATTCATAGAACAAATTTCGACTAATTTGGGATTGACATGTAATAATTATTATATTAATTGTTTTGTTGTTAAAAGCTTTCAACAAATGTAATTAGAAATCCTTAGACTGAGAAGAAGAAAAAAATGTCAATAGAAAACAATACTATATGAGGTCATGCTATCATAAAACAAGGGTGACCCTTCCATAAAGTAAAACAAATGCTTTAGGACCCACATTTATGGGAGTCCCATTTTTTGTTACACCTAATAGGTTATGTATAAGTTTAAAAAAAATATTTTGTGAAGTGAAAAAGTTTGATTTTTTTCTTTTACAAATATAGAGAAGAAGTATTTGCAACTGCTACGATTTCTGCCAAGAAAATTGCACTTGAAATGAATATCGAACCCGAATTTCGTAAGAAACGTGTGATATATAGGAAGTAACAATTTGATGAGAATGTTGATAATAAAATCTAAAAATCTTGCGAAGAATCCTTTGGAGTTGATTATTTTATATATATTAGACAAGGCTATTTTTTTTACTTCAAAATAGATTTGAACAATTCGAAGGATATGAAAATATTTTTGGTTTTCTATTTAGCGGTAAAAATTAAGATCACTAGATGATGAAAATTTTAAAAAATATTGCCTTAATCTTGAATGTTCCTTAAAGTATAATAATCAATTCGGTATTGATGGTTTAGATTTATTTTTGGAATTAAAAGCATTAAGGAAAATAGAACAATTAGAAGATAACAGTTTGATTGATATACTCCGTTAGATTCTCTTCCAATGCCTATATTGCTTATGGAATAATGTTAATAACTCTTGTTACTGTCACTTCACGAAATAAGTTTTTAAAATTAAAATTGATAAAATCTTACCTAAGATCAACAATGTTTCAAAAAAGGTTAAGTAGATTAGTTATATTGTTAATTAAGAAAGACATATTAGGAGTTATTGATTATAAAAAAATTATTAATAACTTTGTATCTTAGAAACGATAGAAAAATAGACTTCAAATAAATAAATAAATTTCTTTAATTTTTTTTAAGGCACCTCATAAAATTTGGCTTTATGTCACAAAACTCGTCGGCCGCCCTTTTCAGAAAATTGGGGTAGCTGCACATGGGAATGTACATGCAAATCTAGAAATAGATCACTTACATTAGACTTCACATTACATGCATCAAATCAACGTTCCCTTAGAAAATGTCTAATAAACAAACTATAAAGAGGTTTCTTTGCCTAATTTCGAATCAAAGCTCCATTACAGTAAGTTGTATTGCTCGAACTCTTCAAAAATATTTTTCGATGCATATTAGAATTCTCCTAAAGTAATATATTTTTAGAGGACCTAGCATGAGTGCAGTAGCATTTTAGAGAATTCTCTCAACACAGATGATAAGAACCGTACCACTAGACCCTTTTCTTATTCTTAGACACGTTCCAAACAGAAATCATCTACCTTAATTTACGTGACAGTGTTCGAGTGATCTGTTGTCTAAAAAGGAACATCAAAATTTTAGAACTTGAAGCTTTAAAATATGTCTAAAAAACATATCATTAAAGATAAAATAAAAAATTGAAATTAAATTATTTTTAGATATAAAATTTTACCTCTTTTAAAAATGGACAAATAAGAAAACAATACTACATAAAATGGAACAAAATAGTATTATATCATCTGTTTCAATTTACGTGAACTTATTTACTTTTTAATCTGTGCACAAAAGAATAACTTTTTATATTTTTGGAAATAATTTACCTTTATGCAATAATTTATAGCCCAGCAAAATA